AGGGAGAAAGGAGAGAGATTTAAGGAGAAAAGAGAGAAGGGAGAATGAGAGAAGGAGAGGGCAAGTGGGACTTCGCTTTATAATATAGTATAGATGTATATTAATATATATATATATATATATATATATATATATATATATAATTTATAAATTTTTTATGTAAATATATATTATGCATGTTGGAGTAGAATTTTTCCTAGGTAAATGATGATCTGCAGTTTTTCTTTTTATTTTTTTTCCAGTGCAACAAATTTAAAATATATATATATATATATATATTGTACTTTTATTAATTTATTATATATAAAAATTCAAAATTAATTAATTTTTATTTCTTTTGTATTTAAAAAATTATAACGGAATTTGATTAAATCCAAATCCGCCTTCAAATCCTAACTCGATGCTGCAGATACAACACCGTTTTCTAAGAAAACAGTGCAGCTGATGGTGGGTTGGAAGCACAAACGGTGCCTTTTTTTGTTTGGAAACGTTGTTGCTAGGTAAGACATTTCCTGGAACAACATCAACATTTTTTGTTTGGTATCTATAGACACCCCATTTTTGTGCTCTTTAGTCTTTCTGTAGCATTTTGAGCTTTAAGCATGCTTCAGCTAACCTCCCGATCGACCTGGGGGTATTTTTGAAATTTCACAAAAGTTGGGGCCTCAAGGATCCAAGACCATAAGTACGTAGAGCCTAGAAATCGAAACCCAATGACACCAAGATCACCCAAATACAACATCGTTTACCCCTTCATCCTGAGAATCTGAAACCAATTCTTATCGTCCCATCAAAGTCATTTTAATCTTAATCCTCATTTCACATCAAATCCAAAATCCGAGACCATAGGTACGTAGAACCCAAAAATCCAAATCCAACGACACCAAGATCATGCAAGTCTGACACCGTTTACCCCTTCATCCAAAGACCTGAAGCCAGAACTGATTTTGCTTGTCCAATCGGAGTCATTTTGTCCCTGAACCTCATTTCACATCAAATCCAAAATCTGAGACCATAGATATATAGAGCTCAAAAATCCAAATCCAATGACACCAAGATCACCCAAATCTGACACCACTTACCCCTTCATCTTAAGACCCAAAGCCAGAACCAATTCCGATCGTCCGATCGGGATCATCTCTGACCCTTAATCGTAACCCCCAAAAAATCTGAAATCCAACCCTGTAGATGGATAGATCTTGAAATTCCATGTCCAATGGTACCAAGATCGTCCAATCCCGACACCGTTAGCCCCTCCATCTTGAGACCTGAAGCTAGACTTGATCTGGGCCCTTCGTTTAGAATCCTCTTCACAATAACTTCGAGCATAGGGCATTGCACGACCAAAACTTCCTCTCAGCCTCTAAAAACATCTTAAAAATCTAAGATTTGACCAGCTATTGCTTTCAATCAATCAAGTTAATCACTTAAACTTGGAATGTCCAATTTAGGTAAATTAGTGAAATCTTTCATTCTTTGTCTTGATTGACTGAGATAGTCTCTCACAAAGCTGTATTGACAGCCCATTCTCTCAATCAATCTCCCTCAAAAACCATTTAAACATCAGCCATTGATCTCCCTTGTCTCCTATCTCAGCCCATTCCCCTCTCAAAAAATCTATAAATACCACTCCTTTCTCACTCCATTCCCCATTCACATTTCCCACGTTCTTGTGTCCCTCCATATCAATTTAACTCCAAGTACCCCTAGGTCAAACCATACTGAAGAAGAAAGCTGAAACATTATTGAATTCTAAAATTATTGCAGAAATGTTGAAGACGTCCAACAACATTTATTATTCCTTGGGCCAAACATATCTGTTGCTAAATGCATTTCTCTTGCCTTTGGATCGATCGTATTCAAAGTGAGTTCACGATCTTGGGTTCATTTGTTTGATTTGCTCATTGTTGCTAGTAATTGTTAAGGATTTATTTTATCGGCTTGATCAAAGTTTTCTGCATGTTATTGGTTTCATCGATGATGGATTGTTTTCACTAGTAGCTATTTATTTTTTTAGTGATAATCAAATTTCTCAATAATCATTAGTTTACGCAACCAAGATTGCTTAGATTTCATCAATAATTGGTTAGCCTACGGTTGATTTTCAAGTCTCTAGCATAAGTTTTATCATTGTGATTATTATTATTCTCAAGTGTTAAAAATGGCTTAAGTTGCTTATGATACGGGCATGCATGCATTATGTTCAATTATTATAGTCCTCATAAGGTTAATCGATAGTTGGTTTTTATCTTTTCAGTCATTCCCATCATATGCATTAATTAGCCCTGGCCTCATTTAACATTGACTCCCTTTATTTATTTTTATTGCCATCAGCATTTTTAGTTTAATACACTTGTTAGTTTCTTCTATTTTAGGAAATCTCTTTAGGAATTTTCCATTAAGATTTGATCGATCACGTTCTTAAAAGGTTGTATTTAGAAATTTTTTATAAATAGGATATTTAGTAGCTAGGTTTGTGGTTCTAGTTTGCTTTTGATTCATGGATTGACTACATCTTTCACAATATCGTCAATCTTTTTGGTACTTCATTTTCCTATTTTGTTTACTAATAAATTCCTTTTCTTATAATACTAGATCTTTTTCTCTTGTTTGTGTTATGTTTGTTATTTTGAATTAGTCCTCTTTAGAAACTTTCTTTTTTTAATGCCCAAAAATTATAAAATTATCCTTGGAACATGGGTGAAGTAGAGGCCGGTCCAACCGGGCGTGTGTAGGGTGCTTAACACCTTCCCACACCGTACCTTGGTCCTTGTACCCTAAGAATCTCATCCCCATTGGGTAACGAGTCACCAAGAAAACAAAATATTTTTCTTGAAAAATATCAAATTTTCCTAAATTCCCAATTCCAAAAATTTAGGTAGTGATTCCAAACTCCATATCCAAATCCATCCCCCTCTTCGGGTCGGGTAACCAAAGTACTAATGTTCCAGGAAACATTTTTAGCAATGATACCTATTATCTAGTGCCACATAATGTCCCTGTTGGCAACAACAAGCTGTAGCTCCAGGAAACGCCAAATTGGGCGTTGCTCCAAGACACACCTTCCTGATTTCCAAGGTGTGGCTTGGAGCATCGTTTTTTTTTTTTTTTTKTGGACAAAGTAGTTACAAACAAACAGGTGTTTCCTAGAGCACCATTTTTTTTGACGTGGCACTGATATGTTGCCGTTTTCTGGAGCAACGACACCGATGCCAAACAGACAATTAGTAGCCATGTTACACATTTGTTGATTACAATATGTCGATTTGATTGTTAAGACGTATTTTGAAAAGGGAGAAATGACTGTTCAACACACCTTAAGAATTCTTAACCCCACCTTGTACTTAGAGTAGGTGCCATCTCGGAATTGATGCAAATAAATAAGAGACCAAATCAGCCCCCAACAAGACTGCCCCCACAACATTCCATAGCACATCCCCGCCATGTACTAAGAACATCCCGATGATGACATTCCTATTATTAGCATTAGGAAATGTTTCCAATATACGACGGGATGTGTTGGGCTGATTTGAACTCAATAAATAACTCCACTCCCAGGCCCTGCAAGTCGCGAAACCATTCCCTCTTTGCAAGTCGTGACGTCGTTCCCTATCTCTCTTTTGGGGTGGCTCTCTTGAGTTTCTCTTTTTGTTGTTTCTTTTTTTCCCTCCTCCCCTTCTTTCATTCTTCATTTTTCCTCCCATCCAATTCTCTCCATTCTTCCTACTATTCTTCCTCCCATCTATTTCCCTCACCTTTCCCATATAGTTCTCTCCATTATTTGCCTATTTTTGTGTTTTTTTCTTCTTTTTGCAGGCATTTTAACAAGGGGGTTACTTTCTCTTGGATCTTGCATTGGGCTTTCAATACTAGTGGATGTTTCTTGACGTTTTGTCGTCCATGGTTAAGTCCGTTCGTGGTTCTCCGGCAGATGCAATTCATGGTCAGTTCCATTTGCAGTTCTCTGGCGGATGCAGTTCTGAAATGCAATTACAATCTCTGGTAGTGGTAGTAATGTTTGGGCCTTTGCCGTTTTTTGAGGATCTACCCCAACCGGCTCTTTACAGTCTTTTGGGAACATCTCCTATCATTTCTTTCGCCGTTTGTGGTGGATTGGAGTCGTGCTTATCTACTTCTGTTGGTGATTTTAAATTCACCTTTGTTTGATTGCAAAAGTTCATTATGTTCTCCTTCATCCATTTATATATTTTGTTCTTCTTGAGAAATTGTATATGGGTTATGATTGGCCTTGTTGGCAATTCTCTGTAATTGTATCAATTCTTAAATGAATGAAATATACTTTAAGCCTAAAAAAAAACTCAATAAATAAGCGGGTATTAATATTTTAAGGTGAAAGGTATTTGCCATTTTGAATTGTATACATTGAGTCGAATTGAGCTTGAACTTCTGACCTCAAGCTCAACTTTCTAATTTGAATCGAGCTCGAGCTAGATGACACCTTGACCACTGAGGGAGGCCTCGGCTTGGCACCTCGATCAATGAGGGAGATCTCGGCTCAGCACCTCGACAATTAAGGGAGACCTCAGCTCGGCACCTATTCAACTAAGAAAGACCTTAACTCGACTCGGAATTTCAACTACTTGAGAGACCTACAATAAAAAATAACCGAACTTTAACTTCCAAACTTTTGACTCGAGGTGAGATCAAACTGAAGCTCGAACTCTAAATCTCTAATTCGAATCGAGTTAGAATATGATAATTTATAATTTATGAGCGAATCCATTGGAGTTGAAGGGCCCCTCCGCTATTTTGAATTGTATACGTTAAGTGGAATTCAGAATTCTGGTGCAGTGTACAATCGTAGAAGTGCCTTTTCGGCCATTTAACGGTACGTAACTACGTATGAAGTTTATGAAATGTATATATTCGAAAAACCTAAGGGGCACCTCAAATAATTTTAAAACTACAAGGTACACTATGTATCAAAAAGCCCGGGGGTCCCCGGGTCAGTTTAAGTAATTTTCCCGTATAGGCGTATAGAAAGACTGAAACCCTCGTCCAGTCAGTCGTCCTTGGTTCCCGGCCCCCTCCTCTCTCACTCTTTCTCTATAAGCCAGTAGCCAGGTACTACCGCCACTCTGCTAATAAAACTGAACTCATTTTCATAGCTCACGTTCTGACGTTCACGAGCGGGAAGGGAAAGAGAGGAGAATCCAAGCAATGGCGTCTAGGGTTTTCAGAGGTTGCAGAGTTCTCATGGCGGCGGCGAACAAGTCCTCTACTGGGGCTAAAGCATCAGCTGCGAGCACTTCTTCCTCCCGTACTACTGCTTCTGCTAAAGCTCAGACGGGCATTTTTAAGGTTGTGCCCGTATCCCCTGCCTTGCGCAAGTTCATCGGTGCCCCCGAAGTCTCCCGTGGCGATGCTGTCAAGAAGGTCTGGGAATATATCAAGGAAAACAACCTTCAGGTCTTCTTTCTTCTCTCTTTTCTCATTTCTTAAACCCTAGAGTTTTTTATTTTTTCGATTTTTTTTCTGTTTGTTGCTTCGAGAGATTTCACTATTCTCCTCTTCCATTGTTTATTAAAATACTGCGTTTCTTTTTGGGGCTACTGTTGTCTTCTTTCTCCTACGTATATCATCCAATGCAGCTGTATATTTCTTTCTTCCTTCGCTTGTTCTAATCCATTTGCGAATGGAACCAGAAACTCTATCATTTTCCATGAGTTATTTTTTCACTGTGGTGTTTGTTGCAACAACAATGCAGCACAAGTGCGTAACTGCAGAAGAAGATGAAATTTTCTTTGAGGGGTTGTACTTTACTTTGTCAATATTCATCTTCCACCTGCCTTGTCTTGTAAAGCATTCTCTCAAAACTAAGTGTTACACTTTTTTTGTGCTTGTATGCAGTTTCTGATTTTGGGGTAACATGACTGGAAGCCATCTTTTGCAGGACCTTCTGGTTACGCCTTTTTTGGGCGTTAATCATTTTTTTGTCACTCCATTGTTCCTCTCTGAATATGATAAATTGATAACCCGGTACAATATGATACTAGTATCACAGGATTTCAAAATATACTTTTTCTGCTCTTTTATGATTCTTCCATCATTGTGATTATATGATTAAGGAAACAAGTGGAGAAGCGTACACGTTTAGCCTTATATCTATTTTGTCTTGTTCTTCCTAGTTGAGCCACAACTGCTATTAGCTTGCAGAAAAGATGATCTGATCATGTAGTTAATTATTTTTTTGCTAAAGAAGGATGTGGACATTTTGCTTTATCTCTTCCCTGTTTTCCACATCTAAGGCGTCTGTTTTCTTCTGTGTAGTAGCATGGAACAGGTAAAGAGAAATCATTTAGGCATTTCTAATTTAGATATTTTTTGTTGGTCAAGACAGATCCCTGAACATAGTTGACAGGTGGTAAATTTAGCAAATATTGAGACTGGATGGTTGTTGGACAACCCACTTTTTTTGCACATTAGCAACTTCATCTAAATAACATTTTTTATGGTTCTCATCTAAGCAACATTAGATGATTAGAACCTAAAAAAATTCCTATGTATCTTTCTATTTATGTGCATGAAACTCTCTTTAGCCCTTTATTCAATGTGTAGTTTATGAACAACTCTAGTAAGACTGCCTCTCCCTGTATTTGCACCTTTGTCCATGCCTCTATTTGGAATCAGTGGCAATAGGGCAAACCTGTATATAATCCCTCTTTTAAAGCTTTCCTCAATTCCTCTGTTTTGAAGGGATATATGTTATGAACCATTTGTCCCATGTTGGTAGTATGGGATGCTAATGTGAGGTATCCCACATCGGTAGTATGGGATGCTGTTGTGGGGCATGTATGTGCTTGTTCCCTCCCTCTAACAGCTAGCTTTTAGGGGGGGTGAGTTCCCCCAAGGCACATAACAATATATGGATTGTCATGACCACAGGAGGCGAGGTCTTCATTTCATTTTCTTTTGTTTATGGGCAGAAGATAAAAGTTCTTTTTCTTGTAGTTCTCTTTTGTTCATCAATGCCATAAATAAAGTATAAATTCATTACTGATTAGAAGACATCATTTGTTTCTATCATATGATGATGATTTTATAGTTTGAGCCACATTCGTATTGTTATTGACTTATGGTCAATTTACACTGGTAAAAATTTGTACTGCTGATACTTGGTGCACGCTTGATTATTATAACCAAAGAACATGTAGCCGACCCCATATAGTGGGGATAAGGCTTGATGTTGATGATTGAAGAACATGGATCAATATATGTATGGTTAATGTGTTGGTTTATCTTTTAAAATTTGAATTGGATAATATGTACAAGCTTTGTGCTGATGCAGCCTTAGTAGGCCTGATTTTGATTTCATGATTTTCTGGTGTTGTGCCATGTGGATGTTTTGCAGAACCCAGCAAATAAGAAGGAAATCCGCTGTGATGATAAACTGAAGTCCATATTTGAAGGGAAAGACACTGTTGGGTTCCTGGAGATTGCAACTCTGCTTTCCCGTCATTTTGTGAAGACTAACTGACTGACATGGTGTTTTTGGATGTTGCCATCTCTTTTGAGCTTCTTTGATTCTTCTTAGCTGCTTTGGTCCTGTGGAGTGTCAGAAATCTGTGTATGAAAATAGACATCTGGTTTGGTGCATTTGGAACTTGTTGTTACTGCTCAGACCATACAAAATAGGTGAGAAAGACAGGCAAAAAGCATTTTGCAATTGTTCACTGTTTAGCTCAAAATAGATACCCATTTGTGGAATGTATTTCGGAATTACTTTCAGCAGGATACCCAAAGAGTTCTCGTTCAGAATCTTTGACTGGTGGTCATCTATATCTTTGATATTTCTTGTTGAGAGGGAAACATGGAATTTATTCCCCATAAACATGTTGCTATTGGCTGGCATGTAAAAGAGCAGAAAACTGCACAGGGAAGATCAGATCATGGTTATTTTCCAGAATCTGGGAAAGGGTTTTCCATGAGTTTGTGGCTTTCCCTTCAAAGATGGTCTCTGAAACATCTGATCTGACTTGTTAAGTTTTTGCTTTTCTATTTCAAGAATAGCAGAGCCTTGTGGGGCCATTTGATGATATGAGCTGAAATTGTTGAACTGAATGACTCGTTGGTTTGTCAGGTTGGGGAGCTTATCACTGTCTGAAACTGAATTTGGGTTGAATGTTATATTCTCAAATATTTTACAAAGCAACAAGTCATTCCTTTCAACAACTTCAGTCATATCAAACTACCAGTGGTATGTCTTGAATGATACCGTCTGTCCGATATACTGATGTCCGGGCTTTACTTGTTTGATTGTTTCCGACTTGGCTGTATGATTGTATCTTTATTTCTTTGGGGCAATCTAGTCATCTGGTCCATGGCGTTATTGGTAAAATTTTCACAAATCACCGACTCCAATGGATTATTGGATTGAATGGATTCTCAATTCATGCTCCATAGTTGTATTTTGCTCGAGATGGAGAATTTTTGCCATGCATGTGAAACACTAGTTTCAGAAATTTGTTTCCTGTCAAGAAACATAATGGCCTGGATTCTGCCTTAATTGTGGATGGAAAATATGAGTGAAATCATTTCATTGCAGGTGGAGGTGGTTTGCTTTTACAAACATTAATACATACAAATGCAATTAATGGGGGTGTCCATGTATCACCGTTTACTCAATAAACGTAAATAGAACCAAACAAATATTATGTTTGGCTCTAGGTATGGTGATTCCTCCAGCATCTGGATGGGGATGATATCATGGTGGTGCCATTGTTTTCTACTCAGTTGAATTCAGTTGGTTGAACGGGTAATCTGGATTCTAGTGTTTCAGCCACCTTCCAGCCACAATCCTAGTTTGGGCCAAACTGTAACCCACTATTTTACGAATATTCATTGACCCATTTCAAGGACCCTTCGTTCTGGTTGGTACGATAGATCTGTCTAACCCGTTTAGTAGATTATTGGGTTTACCCGTTTAATAGATTATTGGGTTTTCATATTTTCGTTTTAAATTTTTTGGATTTTTACAGTTCAGTCCACCGTCAGAATTGGTCAATTTTTTCCAATGTATTTATGCCTAGCTCCCCCTATGAACAGTTAAACACCATCCCCCATCAATTTGGCATTTTTTCCCCCATGACCCAAACCTTACAATTGTATTGTGAATTCTGAGGTGGAATAAACGATTCTAAATTTTTTATAGGTACCTTGTCTTTCCGGCATCATAGATTTTCCCCTCATCAAATGGATATTAACTCACCTTTTTTTTTTTATTATTTTTATTTATGCTTTTAACCCAAATCCATTTAAATGTGGGTTGGTAATGAGTAATATTAGCTTTATGGCCATAAGGTTACAATAATCTTTAATTTGGTTTCAGAAACAATATAATTTTTCTAAATCAAATTAAATGTTATCACTTTCTTTTAACAAAACACACTAAAAGAACATATTTTTTGTTTTTTTTTTGTTTTTGATGATGTGACATACTTTAAAAACAAGGAAAAGAAAAAAGACTCGGGTTGGAGAAAACCCCTATTCTAAGATAGCAACATCTGAAAACAGATGACAGACGGCAAGAACATGAATTATCTAAAAATGAAAGTTGAACCAGTGTCAATGAATTGATTGAAAAGTTCACTTAATTAACAGTAATTAGGAAAAAAGGTGGGATGGCAAGTAGATTATATAAAAGTGCAAGTCTTTCATGTTTTCCCTTTCTCAAGTCTTCCCCACCACCGACCTGACCCCCTCACCCAACCAAAAATAAAATAAAGTTATAAGACCAAGAAAGATGGAGATTGCCCTCAGCTCAATGTTTCTATAATATACAGTGAAAATAAAGGAGCACAAAAATATAGATAAATAAATAAATATAACATGATAACATGGTAACATTGAATTTCTGCTTTCCCCTTCAAGTAATAATGGTTAGCTGAGAAGGTGATGTATCCATGTCTCCACAATAGCAGGTGAGCCATACCAGGGTCTCAGTGTGTCATCTGAACCAACTGGTGAGTGGTAAATTCCATCCAAGGTAATATTCAATGCACCCTCTAGATGAGCTGATGACTCAGGAACCACCCCATCACCCCAAACATCTGCCTGACCACAAACCTGGCATAAAGTATTGCTTGTTGGTAAGTAAATGCTTTAAGAATTTCTTGGTGTCTTGACAATAGGCACCATTGATCGTTAGAAAGTATAGTGTCTTGAAGAGACATCATAGGGGCTAATAAATTTTGTAGCAATCATCTGCTCGTCTGTGTTGGCAGCATATGAATCATGATTAATGTGTCCAGGATTGGATAATAATTATAAGGAACCTTATTTGAGAAAGTAAGACTCTATGCATCTTATCTATCCAAGTGAATGGATTTGAATTTTTCAACTATCAGATACATAGCAAATGAGATGACTTTATCAATTAAAAAACATAGCGAGTAAAAAGAAAAAAGAAAGAAAGAAAGAAAAAATAATGAAAGAAAGAGGAAAATCCACATTGATTACAATTGATAACATGGATTTCTCGTATGACCAACTATTTTAATTTTTTATTATTTTCATTTTTTTGCAGGACTGGTCCTCTTTACAATGGGTTTTATAAGTCAAAGCAGATGAACTAGTAAGTGTATTTTAGTTGACAAAGATTTTGTGATTTACCTGCTTGTATCCCTGACCAATGAAGCGGGCACGCAAGGTCGGAGCAGTTGATGTTGACTCATTCGTGTTACTAACAACAGTCAATTCTGTCATGGATTCACTGTTGTCTAAGAGGACCATGGAATTAGAATCCAGATTGGAATCGGAAAATAAGCGAGCCCCTTGAATATACCTACATTATTTACCTTGATGACTTAGATTTTGAAGTTTGTGGGTTGTTGGAGCAAGAAGTGAAACTTAAGAACCTAACAAAATGGATGATAAGAATAAATCTTTATACTGCAGACCTGTTTCATTCCACAAAGACTTATCCACTTAAAAAAATGTATGTTAAGTAAATGTAATTATGCTTATTTCCCACTTTCTCAAAATGATTTTCCAAGTTTTTCTTCATCTACAAGTTTTCACATTTAATGCTTAGATTTTCCACTAACACAAAATTAGTGCGGAAATGGGTAAAATGCAAAAAAAAAAAAAACTCATGCATTAAATTATTAAAATGGAGCTAAAATAATTTGCTTAGGTAACTGCTAAATCCAAATAACTACACCTGTTAATTACCAAATCATGATACTAATAAAAAATTGCATTTTTTTGTTTTTAAGAAATCCAAAAAAATTTTATTGTTCTGAGAAAAATAGCAATAAATAATTCTGATTGCAGCGATTTCAAACTGAAACTTGCACAATTCTCTCTTTGACTCTTGCAGGATTCATCATGGGAAGTTCTGTTCTTTGTAAAAGACCTAGATGCAGTTGAAAGCTGCTTCTAATGATGTATTCCATGGCTATAGGAATCAAATGTTCATAATCCTACATCACATGGTCCTTATATGAGCATTTATGTGAACTTTTTTTTTGATGAATGAGCATTTATGTGAACTTAAATGGGATGCTCTTGACCGAGCAGCATCTTTGCACTGTACAGTACATGGCAAAATATTTTCTCCCTCTTATTTTTTCTGGTGGTACTGATACCCATATCTATTATTATAACTTGTATATATACGAAATGAATTGGTCCCATGATAATGTTTTCTTTCCATGTGATACCAGTGTCCCAGGAAAAGCCCTTCAGAGAGGTGTGAGATTCAGAAAAAAAAAAAGAAGAAAACCTTAGGTAACGGGGAGTCTTCTGAAGTTGGTTTTGTTTGTATGGGATGGAAATACAGTTTGGCCTATAGTAGTCCTATTGATGAGGGGCAAATACAGCCTTCTGGAAAGGAACTTGAAGAATCTAAAAATAGAACCATCTTTGTAAACTAGAAACCACCTCCTTCCAATCAAGTTAAGATCAATTTTGATGCCTGTCTTGAACAACGGAAAACAAGCATAGCTTGGGTGGCCTGGGATAATTTTGGAAATATTTTATTTCCAATTATCATCCTATTATAGGCTGCACCACAATCACGGTAACAGAAGCTTGGGCAGCGCGGGAGGCAGTTCAAGGCATGATGGAGATACAAAACAAGGAAATCGTCATCAAAGGGGACTCAGCTCTAATGATTTTCAGCAGCAATAATAAGTGCAAGCCAACATGGTCTTCAGCTAACATCATCTGAGACATACAGCTCCTTAAGGAAAGCTGTCAAAGAAGGATCAGGTTCAAGCACGTTCTCAGGGAGGCAAACATGTTCACTGATCTCTTGGCAAAGTTAGGTTACGAGGACAATTTCGGCTGTGTGATGGATCAAGCTCAAATTGATCTTTGGGGTTGCATTATCCCCCACTATTTTTGTAGTGCAAGTCCTTTCTGTACAAGAGAGAGAGAGAGAGAGAGAGAGAGAGATGAGGTGGATTCCACCAAGGCTGAGGTGATGGCTCTTCTTGAGCCTCAGGGGTGCTATCTTGCAAAGGCTCTCATCCTTGATGGTTGAAGGTGATTCTTTAAATGCAACCAGATGGGAAAAGGTTTTGGAAGATGATCATGGAGATTATCCTAGAAACTGAATCAAATTAGAGACAATGAGCTACTGTTGAACTCTTGGTATTACTAGCTTGAATTGGACTATTTAGGGAGATGAATGCCATTTCTGATGAATAAGTGAGTTTGGGAAGTTAATTGATGAGGAATGTATGCTGAATCTTCGATGGAAATGTCAGTCATCCAAATATAAGAAACATGTTGGAAATATTGTAAAAATTATAGATATGGTGGAAACATTATGAAATATGCAAAATGTAGAATGGTATTTTATGAGGCATAGACACACCTTTTTAAATTATTATCTTATTCCAAATCATTAAACAAAGCTAAGAAACTAAGGTTATAGACAAAAGAATACGTTCTGAAGTTGCCCTGTAAACCTTAAGATTCAGAGCTTCATGACAAAATGAGTTAAAGCAAAATTTAAATTCATAGAAAATGTAAATGGTTGTAATAAATCAACCAAATAATCTATTACACAAATAAAAACTAATATTTAACTTCACATTTGAAATGAATATTGAGTTAGCTCAAAGTGATAACCATATAAGTGAGGTGGACAATAACTTGTTACTTCACATACCTACAATATTGTCACCAGCTTATGTTATAATACTATCTCTTGTACTCCACATAGTATTAGTAGTATTCATTGGATAATATGTCAATTCTAGTAAAATTTCATGTTGGTACCCTTTGAAGTGGAAGTGGAAATATGTTGTGGAAACTATCTCTTGTACTCCACATAGTGTTGGTAGTGTTCATTGGGGAAATGTCAATTCCGGTAGAATTTCGTGTCTTTACCCATGGAAATGGAAATATGTCATGGAAATATTAGGGAAATCAAGGACATTTTAAACTATACTCTGTCTGCCTGTGTCCATCCTATACATTATCTTTCTGTAGTTTCTCCATACTATTAATTAAATCCTTTTAACAATTACTATTCCAATAAATGTCCAAAAGCATATATTCATTCAAAAAAGAGTTAATTGAACTTCTTTTTTGATAGAAAACAAGAGATCAATAAAAAGCTACACACAACGGGGGGTAGCACATCCCCAAATGTCAGCACAAGAAAGACACTTTAAAGAGAAAGGCAACGAAGAAACAGAAACAAGGTTTGAATGAGCACAATTAGCAAGCCAATCGGCAACCCCTTCCCGGAAAGTGTGACTGTACTCCACAGCGCTGTCCATCCTCTCGACCAAAGACTTGCAACCTTCAATGATCCTTCTCAGATCATTGATTCACTATCATAATTTGAAGTAGATTCCATAAATGAGTTTTTAGCTCTATCAATGATTATGGAAGGAGGAATTGCCTTGTTATCAAAGGTTTTGTTATTTTGATTCTTCCAAATTTGCCACAATAAAACAGCATTTTTTTTTCTTTTACAAATAGAACTTTAGGATAATGAGAATTATCATCCAGAGAAGCCCACCACTCAAGAAACTTTATTGTTGTTCCCCGGAGGAGCCAGAATAGTATCTCTCGTGATGAGCCATATTTGTTTAGTGAAATGGCATTTAAAAAAATATGAACAGAATCCTCCTCTTCACCACAAAAATCACAACAGCTGTCAATATCAAAACCTCTTCTCCTAAGGGCTATCTTGGAAGGGAGTTTATTGTTAAGCAAGAGAAATAAAAAGACCTTGATTTTGGGAGCAATTTTCAGATTCCAAATTTTACTGATTTCCTTTGTCACTCTAGTAGGGTTACCATGCATCCAGCAAGCCTCATTATAGGCCAATGTGATTGAGAAGTCTCCTTTTGGGTTAGGTCTCCAAATCTTACTATCCTCATGATCACCCGACGGAATGAAAATATTTCTAATTTTTTCCCACGCACTTAAAGGCACTAGGTCCTTAATCAAGTCCTTCCAAGTTTTGGTCTCGTGATTAATGACGTCACTAACCCGGAGGTCAGTATTATTAATTTCTGCTTTGTTAACCAAATTGATCAGGGGAACCTCATCTGACCACTTATCCAACCAAAATTTTGTCTCATTACCTTTGCTAATAATCATTCCTAGCCCTCTCTTAATCAAATCACGGGAATCAAGGATGCCTTTTCAAGCCTATAAGTGATTCTTTTTTGGCTTAGTCTCCCAAAAGTCTTCTCTCCGAACATATTTGTTACTTACAACTTGAACCCATAAGTTATCATTTCCATTTAGCACTTTCCATCCTAATTTTGCAAGGCAGGCTTCATTCATCCAGCCTGGATTCTTCAGGCCCAGACGACCCCAAATCTTAGAAGTGCATACTTGGTTCCAATTGATGAGGTGGAGGGATTTCCTATCTTTACTGTTAGTCCATAAGAAATCCCTTTGCTTCTTATCAAGGTCCTGAATAACACCTTTAGGGACTTTAAATGATCTCATAATATATTGAGGAATCATGTTACTAGAAGCCTTTATGAGAGTAATTTTACCAGCAAGGGAGAGGCAGTTTCTTTTCCATCCTTCCAGTTTACTCTCCATCTTTTCACCCAAAAATTTGAAGGTGTCCTTGTTATATTTGTTGCTAAATACAGGAGCACCCAAGTAGTTTTCATTTTTCGCCTGTAAAGGGATTATGAGAATTTTTGCCATGATTTTCTTAAGTTTTGGGTGAATATTCTTAGAAAAAAGTAAAGTTGACTTGGTGAAAACAATACAATCATTATCAAATTGAAGGATAGGAATGGATGGCCCTTGTCTGGACACCCAACAACCAATAGGACTCCTGGGGGCAGAAGCCTCCCTCAAAAGGTTAAGAGAGAGAGCCTACACACAGAGGACAAAGAGTTAATTGAACTTTGATTTATTGTTAGTTCTCTTGAATACAATCCAAAATATGGAAGTATAAGGTAGAGGTGTCTAGTAATGGCACATTATATTGCTTTTCAAGACCATGCATCCTAATTCATACTCTCCAATGAACAGATAACGAAAATGCTCAAGGAAATGTACTTATTTTAATAACTCATGCTCATAAAGCATAATATAATGTTGGACATTCTTCCAAGACAATATATAGCTCAAAACCCCTGACAGTCTACATGACATAACCAAGTATTATGCAAGGATCAGAATATTGCATGAATCAAAATGAAATATGCAAGCTACAGATAAAAGCTAGAAGAACTGTGTGGTGAAAGTGGCATGAATCATCCACTGCTGGATTTAAGGCAAAAACAAGTATGGGATATCAAGAAACAGAAGAATGTGATTCTTGAATTTACTGATAAAAAATGTGATTCTTGAATTTACCTCCCCGCAATACATACATATTTCAAGTCTGGTGTATATATAGCTTTTGCACAATATCTGTCAACATAATCCAAGAGGCCCCTTGTTTGATCAATTACTCCTGGCAATCCCTTTGGAGGTGGTCTGAAAGAAAACATACTTTCTGGTCAAGCTGTAATGATGAAATGCAAATAAGACCTCTTGAGGATAGAAAGTGAATTCACCATAAAAATCTCTTCAAACCACGTTCCCAAATACAACCAGTATAATGCCACAAGAATTTATTACGAAGAAAGTAACAGATTTCCATAAGTTATGAAAAGAAAACAGGGTACATGAGAAGATGTACCCTGTTTCATCAATTATGCCATAAGAACCTGTCATATGGGTACTCTATATTTGGAAAAATCCTGAAACAATATGCTTTTATGAGTTGAAGAATTCTGAAAAAGGAGACATTAAAGTAAAAACAGAACCAACATGTGAAGAGGGAATAACAGATTAGAAAATGGAAAACTAGTGAAAAACTCAACAGTAATATGAAAAAAAAGCCTAATTCGTTATCATTAATGCTTATTAAAGACTGCTAGATTTTTTTATCTTGCACGTTCTTCTTTAGATGAGAATGCATTTAAGAATATTTTGGGAAGCTGAAAAAGAGATGTTCTCCAAGTACTGAAAACTTGATAAGAAACATACAAATGAGGGGTTCCCAGAGTCAATAACAAGGAAATGTTTGACAGGCCAAATTCTTCCATGTAAAGACGTGCAAGCCATCCTCCAGCTGAGTGCCCAATTAAGGATAAACTCTGACCTGCAATGCAGCAGTTTCTTTTGTGGATTCAGATATCCAGGTAAGGGTTGTAGAGAGACTAAATGCTTAAAAAAGATAAGTAATAAGAATAGTTCAGAAAAGACAAAAACTGACTGTTGACATAATTATGCAATATCATATCAATCAATCAATCACTTAAAATGTCACAATGAAAAAAATAGAATGGCTTTTTGTTTGAGAGAGACCCTAGAAATTTAACTTTCATATAACTAAGTATTTTAGATGTTATGCATCAATAGCTACCCTCTGAGGAATAGATGAAAATCACAGAATACAGAGAAGATACACAAAGATGTTTAAAGAAAATGAATAATGAAAGAAGTTTGGCTCTACTTGGGATTCACATGAACTATTGTAACATGCAAGTCACCTAAGAATCAAAACAAGAATTTAACCCCTCTCTATTTGTCCCATATTAACAGTCATATTGCTTTCTCTTGTTTTCATATGTTTATACTCAACACATTTACAATAGGTGATAAAATGAGCAAAGTTAAACTAAGATGGTTTGGTCAGGTGCATAGAAGGCCATCAACAGCACTTGTAAGAAGAATTGATTTGTTACAAGTTGAAGGGGCTAGAAGGGCAAAGGGTAAAAGGACATGGGTAGAAGTAGTAAGAAATGATTTAAGCAACAATGATTTAACTATGGATATGGCATTAAACAGAATGGTTTGGTGAAACAGGATTCATGTAGCTGACCCTATATATTTGGGATAAGACTTGGATGATGATGATGATACTCAACACCTTTACAAGGATATAACTGACATAATGTAGGTTGTAGAGAAAAGATATACAAGTTTATCAAATAATATTTAATGCAAAGTTTTACTGTTTCTTTTTCTGGTTTGCTTTTCTGCAGTTTCTACATTCATTATTTGGTATGATGATTCAAAAAATTTAAGACTGTTCTCCTTTAGAATTTTCAAAATGTTGTTTCAGTTTTCATATATAGTGGTGATTATTTGCTTTCCTGTATTTCATCTAGAAAGATGTATAATTGTCAAAAACTCTATCTTAAGGTTACTTCCAATGATTAGGATACATCAAGAGACTTTATTGAAAGAAATAGCTTTCATGTGTTCTGTGGGAAATTCACATGTTCTAGTTAAAGGTAAAGAGAGCAAGATATACATTTGTTTTTCAGCCATTTGATAGAATAATCACAATTCAGCTGAAACAACAAGGTAAAATGAAACAGACCTTTGTCTTCAAATCATTATCATCATCATCATCATCATCATCATCTAAGCCTTATCCTAACTATATGGGGTTGGCCACATGAATCCTGTTTCACCATTCAATTCTGTTCATATCCATTGTTAAATTATGAGCCTTAAATCATTTCTTACTACTTGGATCCATGTCCATTTTGGTATGCCCCTAGCTGTTAACCATCTTAGTCTACTTTCTCTCATTTTATCACTTATTGGAGCTACTCTTGAGTTACTCCAAATGACTTCATTGATGACCCTATGCTTTCTAGCTTTTCCACTCATCCATCTCAGTGTATGCATTTCTGCCACCACTTCGATCTTCAAATGTGAGAGTTTATGTGAGCAATCGACTGTATTAGACACGAATAATATAGTAGAAAACGAGAAGAAAGACTTTATTTTAGAATACTACAGATAAGCATTAATATTTGGTATCTTTCCTTTTTTTTTAGATTATCTATTAAGAAAATAGGGTTGGGGGTGGGAGAAATAACAGACCTTCAGCTAATATCCTTGCTTCCTGAACTGCTTCATCGACCCTCTTCAGATACCTGTAATCCAGAACACTGAACCTAGTCAGAAAAACAGAAGATATTACAAAAAGATGATTTAAATGCAGAAAATATACCAATCAAGAACAGGCCGAGGACGAAGGGTTCCCCTCCAATAATTGGGATCCAACAAGCCAGCTGCATTCCTGAGCCAATCAACTCTAGAAACTTTAGCAACCACTGTGGGCACACCATATTCTTTCAACGTAACCTGAAGCTTCTGATAATCACTTGAATTGTTCCCTAAGCCCTGAACCATACAGAAGTAATCAACCGAATGTTTCTTATTATTCATCTGAAATGAAAAATCTAAAAATCCACACGAACAAGCAATGCCCATCTACCCAACACCTTAATTTTCTTCCTAAAGATAGCTGATTAACTTAACTACCTGATTTTTGAACTAAAAACTTGTGGGTAACAGAAGAAAACTTCTTAGACTTATAAGAACAGTATTAATGACTAACTGTATAAAAGAATAACTAACTTAACTGGAAGAATAACGGCCGGGCGACAGTTGACAGGCGTTGGTTGGGCTGGCTTTTCCTCTGTTCCTGCAGCGGCTAACGTGGCAATAAAATGGCGGTGTTTGATGGGTTGTGGTGGTGGTCGTCTTCTTGGACTCGGAAAGGTTGTTGGCATTGAAATCAACGTTGCCCAAGCCATTCCCTAGCTTGGGTTTCTGCTCTTCTCTGCAACTCTCCATTGGTTTGCAGGTATGCACTGTTATTTAGATGAAAAACCATTGGATTGGAATCCTTCCGAGGATTCTATCCTTTTATAGATTGAACCATTGGATTGGAACCTGGGAACTTTATCGTGGAGATCGATAACATAGAATCAGAATCTATTGGGACTACTGTACTCTTCATTCAGATGCGAGAGAGAAGATTCTCACTATTTATAGGCTAAAATTCTTCCACGTGGCAGGATTTTATTTCGCCACGTTGCACAATATCCTTCCCCTAGTATTTAGATCCTTGCTAACCGGCTTCCGTGGGTTAACCGGGCGGTCCAATTTTGCCGGGTTAATGTTGAGATTGTTTTCGTAGGATTGGAATCTTTTGTTTTAGACGTTGATAAAACAGACCAAAGCAGTTTCACTCGAGATTAAACCGTTGGATTGGAATCATAAGAGATATTTTTCAATCACAAAGGAAAATCCCACAATCTGACCCTCGAGAATCGAGATTCCTCACGCGATCATGGGCTTATCTCAGAAGGTCTGAAGGTGGCGTTGCCTTGGTCTTGGACTGGACGGTCGTGCTCATCTTGTCGCCGATGGTGGCGTCTACGGCTGAACCGACTACACCATTCGATTCGCAATTCCCGAAACTTTTGCTCTAGACTTCATTAGCACTTGGTTTCTACTTTTTACTGTTGTTGTGGCTTTCGCCATGACTGCATCAGACGATGAGAATGAATCCTTGGCTCACTTTCTCGAATCGGAGGTCCTCTCCGAGGTCTCTGACGAGGTTTGATACTTCTTCTTCCTTTCTTTTTTGAATCGACTGAATGTTTTGTTAGACCATATCAGATTGATGGGGGTTTTGGTTGAGGATGCCTGTTTATGGTTGTAATTACTACTAATTGCTGACTATGCTATGGTTTTGCTTCTTCCCTTATGCTGTATATCTGAGGTGGAACGAATTCTGAGTCCTTTAGATTGGCTATGCTTTGTTTTTTAGACGGCTGTTCGTTTTTTTTTTTTTTTGCAGGAAGAAAAGAAAACAGAACCCCTAGCGAAGAGATTGCGCCTTGACAATGAGGGAACTTCTCAAACTGGGAGAGGGAGCAGCCAAATCTCCAGACGGATTGAGACGGGGATTTTCAGCAAGATCCCTCCAGAGCTTTTCCACAACATCCTCAAGTTCCTTTCTTCAGAGGTTAGGGTTTCTGAGTTTGATTTGTAATTTATACTGAAAACGTTCAGGTTCCAGAAGAACCAAATGTCAGATTTTTTTAGGTCAATTCCATATGGTGGTTGTTGTTATTGTATTATTCTATTAACATTAAGGTAACCTAATTTTGTTGTATCATTGCAGGATCTCGTAGCATGTTCTCTGGTTTGTAGATTTCTGAACCATGCGGCATCTGATGAAAGTCTATGGCGTCGCTTGTGAGTACATCATCTTCTTCCTAAGTGCATCATGTCGTTTTTTTTTTCGAGTCAGATTTTTATTTGTCTATTTAAAGTAATAAATACTGTACAACTTGGTTTGATTTTGTGATTTGGAACAATGATTTAAAAGCGAGAAGGGGAAGGCATGATATACACCTTAAACAAACTGAGGCACCACTTTTTGAGAAACAAGTAAAAAAGCCTTAATATTCAAGAATATGCAAATCCAATTCAGAAAGAAACAAAATATTTTAAAGTCTATTAGTTTAATTGGTTAAAGCATAGTATTATTAAAATGAAGTGTGTGTCCTTGTATGTTTAAGTGGGGCTGTCAATGTATTCTGAAAGTCTGAAATTTGGATTCAGATCCTAGAACCTGTATCTGTTTAATAATTGAGTTGGATGCGGATTGACCCCATTTGATCTGATAAAGATTAAAAGATCCAGGTCCAATTAAAATTTATGTTATATATTTGGTCATGTGCATCGAAGACCATGCAAGCACCTATAAGAAAAAGCAATCAGTGACAAGCTAAAAGGACTAGGGGCAGACCAAATAGGACATCGGTTGAAGTAGCAAGATGATTTAAGTGCTCATAATTTAACAATAGATATGGCATTAAACAGAATGGAATGGTGAAACAGGATTCATGCAGCTGACTGCTGACCTCATATAGTTGGGATGAGGCTTAGATGATGGTGATTATATAATCATTATAAAATGCATAATTAGTAAATTCAATATTTATATTTAGATAAATTAAATCTGAAACAGACATATCAGATTCTGGACTGGACTCAGATATAAAGTTTCAATTATCAGAAATCAGATGTAGTTGGTTCCACTCTGAATCTGATCCAAGTAAGCTTGATATTTAAGTCCTTTATGGCCTACTCTCTTTAAAGTCCAAATATAGTAGGCACAATCTACAATATAATAATTCAACTATTCTACACAAAATTCAAGGTTAATTTATCAAAACACAGTGCCAAGTCAGGTTAGGTACACCACAAAAAATAAGCCTTGCCTGTGAGTTAAAACACTAGCGTGGAAAAGGATGTCCCTTTCATTTTGGCTGAGTTAATTCTTCTTAATAAATAGCATTTATATTTCTTCTGTGTTCTGCCTTTGATTTGCAATAATGTATGACAAGAGGGAATCTGATGGTGAGTGATAAGTCTATTGGAAGGAATATAAACTAATTTCAGTGGGTATGCATAAGTTGGAAATAATTTGACAAGTGATTTTGAAATTTGCAAGGAAACCATGCAACTGAATGTGGAACAGCTTTTTTATTTTTTGTTGCTAAGAAAATGTGGATGTGGTGGATCATCTAGTGCTTGCTTGCAGCCTGTCCTTTTGACGTAGGACCAATTTCTATTTTTTGAAGATAAATGAACAAGAAAATTTATTAAGATACAAATAGCTTAGAGAAGAATACAAAGAGGTGATAAGAAATCACCCAACAACTAAAAAAAGCAACAACCCGAGATACTCAAGCAACCTTGAAACTAAAATAAAACCCAAAAATCAACAAGAAAGATCAAGACCCTTAATTTAGCCCACCCCCACTAACCTCTCACTACCCTTAGATAGCAATCTAACAAAATCCCGCCCAAGAAACCTTTACAAAGCAAGTAAGGCCTATCCCACCCTTCTGAAATTGAACTAAAATTTCTCTCTCTCTTTCTTGACAAGCCTTATATTCTTCTTAACCCTCTTGTTTATTCCAATCACAAGTGAAACCCCTTCCAATCTATCAAACGCCTTTGAGACTAGCACGGATCTACAAACATCTGTTGTCTAAATCTTTTAACTGCATCGGGATGACCTTCACAGTTCTTCCTTTTTTCCATTAAGATCATTAATCCTTTCAAGCTCGAATACTGCATTCTTCTCAAATACCTGTTCCGCAACCAAATCATCTCCCTTCTGTTGCTTGGTCCTTGTTTCACTCTAGAATCTGTCACTTTTCTCCCCCTCTGCCTTTAGAGAGTCTTCAATGGGACTTAAAGCTTCCTTCTCGCTGTTTTTCAGGATCTCACTTGAATTTTCTTCCACTTAAATGCTTTCATTGCAAAATCCTCTCCACCCAAGAAAAACAGTCCCAGGCTCTTACTTACCTTGATTTCTTTGTAAATAACCTCTTCCAGATTGGCTTTCCTTCTAACTTCATGAGTCTCGTCCACTATAATCTCCTCATCCTCCTCTTCATTCTTTTTTTGATAAATAAATTCATTTCCATTAAAATAATGATTGGATACAAGAAAATCCCTTTAAATGCATGAGGTGCCGCCTCTCCTCTTCATTTTCCCTCTCTAAAACGCCCTCGAGGGGCTTCGTTCTATATTTTCTCCTTCTATGGAACATCTTTGCTCTATTAACCTTCTTTCTCTTGTTTCCTTCCATCTCCTTCTCTTCTTTACCATATCCATGCTCTTCTTCTTCTGCAAACAAACCTCACTGTCACCTACTCCCTTCCTCAAACTCCTCTCCTCTTCCCCTTCAACTTCTTCCAAACCCTTTGGAACTCCCCCCTCCCTTCCACCTACAGTGCGCAAGTTTGAGCCTCCCTGATCTTTCCAACGAACCGATGAAGCTCTTCTCCTTCCTGAACAGCCTGCGTCTCTCTGAAACCAGTAGCATTTTCCCCTCCATTCTCCTCTTTATCCTCTCCCAGAAAATCTCTGTTGAGCTGTTAATACCAGCCAAACCCAGACCTCGCAATGCCTTCTTATTAAGTGGGGAGATGAAAGGCTAGAAGTATCATCTAATATTCCCATTATTCTCGTTTGCCCACCCTTTTTAACCAGCCGAACAACTTTGGGCTGCACCGTAACAAACCCACCCAAGTTGCCCAGCTTCCCCCCCATGTGGTCCATTGCCTTTTTTGCCTTCGTAAGTTGTGCCTTTCTTAAGAGCTTCCATATCAAAGGCTTTCCTATTAAACACTTCCACTTGGTTCATTTCCAAATTATTTGAAGCTTTTTCCTTCGAATGCAGTGCCTTCCTCTTCTTTTCATCTCCCCCATTAAACTTCCTCGGAACTAGCTTCCCCTTGACTTCTCCTTCTCTTCCACTTGGCTCCCACCCTGCTATTTGTTTGCACCCACCCTACTACTAACTTTGAGTCTCCCTCCACTTCTAGTTGTTGCATACCCAATCGCTTAGCCAATCTGAGTCCCTGAAGGAGGGTCAACACTTCTTCTCTAAGTGAGTCCCCCCACACCTATTGGACCAGTGTACATAGCTAAGATTTTTCCTCTCTCATCTCTAAATACACCCCCAATTCCCAATGGTCCAGGATTCCCCCCAGACCTGCCGTCAAAGTTTAATTTCACAGTGCGCTGCAAAGGAGGGGCCCAAGCTACTTGTAAGGTAGAACAAGATACGTAGGACCCGGCTATTATACGCCATTCTCTAGTCAAGTCATCTGTAGAGTAGTCCTTGAACAAATCTAGAGTTTTCAGCCAATGTATAGCCTTGATGGTGGTCCCTTCATTAAGTTCAGGAGCTGATTTTTCTTTTCCTTGGAAGATCTTGTTGTTTATCTCTTCCCAAACTGCCCACAGCATGGTTGCCCTTGTTGTTCTCCACATCACCCTTCCCTTCTTCTTTGGTTGTTGGAAGAAGCTAAGGTCAAAGAGATCCTCTACACTTGAGGGAGAGTTCCACCTGCAATCAAAGAGAGAGGAGAGCCAATCCCATAAAAGAGTAACAAAGGGACAAGAAATTAATAGATGATTTACCGTCTCACCATTTCTCAAGCAAAGGCTACAAACATGTGGAGAAAGCACCAACTTGGTCTTTTTCTTTCAAGCACTTCTAAGGTATTAATTTTTTGGAGAACCACTTCCCAACAAAAAGCCCTTACCTTTGGAGGAATCGAAGCACTCCAGATTTCTTTAACAGGAAAGGGTGTAATCAGGTTTGTAGGGGGCAACAAAGCATTGAAGGAGGAACAAGAAAAACAGCCTGAAAAGGTTTCAGTCCAAATTCTACTATCAGGACAAGAAGGGTCCAAGAAGACTGAACTGAGAAGAGAAAACAGATCATCTGCCAATCCCACTTCTGAGTCCCTCAAGCCTCTCCTTAGCCCCAGATCCCAAGAATCCTCAGAGACACGAAAAGAAGAAATAACTTGAAATTTTTTCAAAGAAAGAGAATGAATGATTGGGAAACTATCTTTAAGGGGAGAGTCCCCAATCCAAGTGTCCTCCAAAAAAAGTACCTTATTACCCAAACAAGCAACATACCTTATGGAAGTTGAGAATGCAAGCAGTACACAAACAGTGTCTTTCTGGGTTTTACCTGTATGTTTGTTGTGGTCTTACTGGCATGGAGATAGAGGAGCAACTTACCTAATGTCTAACAGGAATAATGCCACTTTCATGCTGAATTTAAATGTTATCTATTGCAGTGTTAGTTGATGCAGTTTCTTTTTTTTTTTTTTTCATTCTAGATGAAGATCTTTAAAAGGAGTTCGACTTCAGTCAGGGCAAAGCCTGTTCGAGCAGCCTTTACTGCCTTGCATTGAGAATATCTCCGTACTTGTGTGCTTTATTTCATGGGGATATATTCCCAATGCATGGTTGCAAAAGGCTGTTAGAACGGTGTGGGCACAGGTTTGCCCTGATAGAAGCCGATCTCCTTTAAAAGTGCTTATTTTTTCTAGAAGATTTATACTGATTAGTATAATATGCTTATGTGCATGGTATCCAATTGTAAATTTTTATAGGTATTGCATGCGCTGGGGTCTGTCTCCTCCTACTAAAAAATTACGTCAATTTGCTTGGAAAAAGCTCTATATTCAGGTATAATTTAAGTTTTGGAATCATTTTATTTGTAGCCAACAATAAAATAGTGGAAAAGAAAAGTTATGCTTTGTAAATTGAAAAGAGTAGTTAATTGTGGAATGTAGTTATTATCATAATTTATTCTTTAGAATTCATTGATTTAAATGCCAGTAAAAGTAAGTGTCTGGGACCTTGGACTGGTCTAATGTATTATTTGTGATGCATTTGACATTTTTTACTAGCAGTTGCTAAGTTGAATATGCTAACATTTTTTTATCTTACAGCGTGATGAGGAGGACATGGTCGAATTTGTTAGGAATACTCCATCTGAGTTCAAAGAATATTATATCCAAATGCAGGCAGCCAAGAGAAGCCAAGCTCCTCTTCCCTCACAAGTAAGGGTAAAAAGATCTAGAAAGTGTTGTTTGACACTTCATTTCCCATGCATTAGCATGAAAAAAGTTCACATAATTGTCGGAGGTTGAGGAGTAGCTGCTTTGTTCCTCTGATGTACATGTGACACACATGGTAGGGGGTTTCCCTACCAAGTTGTTTCTACCGTGGAAGCTTGCACAAAACTGAGCCTCTCTCTCTCTGCACGTGGGTAATGATTTTCCAATTTGTATTTTCAATTCTTTTGAAAGTAAAATAAATTTTTTATATTAAAACAAAAAGAAGAATACAAGGAAAGTGACAAGAAGTCACCTGAGCAAAGAAGAAACCCAACACCCAAAACATAACAACACACCACTTCCAAAATTCAAACCAATCAGACTCTCCCAAGATTTCCCAAGATATCAAACAAAGATCCATAATACAAAATTAACTTTAAACAATACAATAAAATAAACCAACCCCAAAACAGACACCACCTCTACTCAATCTTTTTCAGTAGAACTTCCACCCATATCCATAAAAAATGAACACCCACACCCCTTCAACCTAAACATCACTTTTTATTACAGCACTACTAACTCTGACACCCGCAACAACTTTGATAACCACCACCCACCAACTGAAAATATACTAAATTATACAGATACTTCAGTGGCAAAAGTCAGAGCCTCATTAAGCCTCTTTGACACTTTTTAAACTTTCTTCATTTTTTTATTAGGCGCTATTCCAAACACACCTCCTTTCAACCTGGCAAACACTTTTGAAACAGGAATAGCTTGTTTTTGTTTATGCCTTTTATAATATTTCACTGCATTAAGATTCTTCTAACATTCTTGCACTTCTTCTTTAGAGCTTTTGTTAATCCTTTCCAACTCCAACACCACATTCTTTTGCAATTCTTAAACTCAACTCCCTTCCTCTCCCAAAACACTCCAACATTTTAAGCAGCCTTCAGTCCATCTTAGACTCCTCTTCCCTTGCATTGAGATCACCCTCATTGTGTACCAATTTCTCTATCTCCCTGTTCCTATCCTCCGACTCTTTAAATGTACTCCTTGCAAGTTCTTCACCCCGTAGAAAAAAAAAACCCCAACATCTTGCTCATCACTACCTCCCTATTCACTACCGTCTCCAAGTCAACTGTACTTTGAATTGTATTTGTTTCTTCCATCTCTATCTCCTCGTCCTGATCTTGTTATTCCTCTGCCCCCTCTTCCTGATCACCAAAATCCTCCAACTGTCTTGTTCTATACTGTCTTTTCCTTTTATAAATATCTTGCTTCTGTCCTCGATTTTTGCTTCCTCCTTTCTCCTTTCACTCCCATCTCCTGCAACACTACCTTCTCCCTCCCTCTCCCTTTTATGTTGTTCTCCATTCTGCCCTTCCTTTCTTCTACTCTAATTGACTTTCTATCAGCAATTTTTTTATTGGAAACCGTAAATCCATTCATTAAATTATAAAGGTAAACAATTACAAGCATCTCAATAAGGAAGTGCTAGAGTCCACAATTACAGTGCTGTCCAAAACAACTCAGCCGTGGTTGACCCTTGTTTAGCTAGGCCGTCAGCCAGGCCATTAGCAGATATTCTAACCCAATTAAAATCGACTTTCTACCAGAACATGCTACCTCACCTTCCTCCAAATTCCCGTTAACCACTGACACCTCTTGGACCACCTCCTCTACCTCCCAGTTTTCACTTCCTCTCCTGCACCTTTGTAACCAACCAACCTCTCCTGCACCTTTGTAACCAACCAACCTTTCATCCACCTTTGTAACCAACCAACCTCTCATCCACCTTTCCGATATCTTCCTTCTCCTCTTGTTCCCCTCCACTATGGTTCCCCCTTTCTTTTACAAAATCAAGATTGCTTAACTGTCTGTGATTGCTGACATCTGTTATCTTTATATTTACATCATCACTTCTTCCCACTGTAACCCTTGAAACACAGCCTTTGCCCCGTTCTTGTGCATCGGCAGCTGAAATAGACTTCTTGGCCAGACTGCCAATCTCATTTTCTTTGAACGTTGTCTTCTCCCCTTTCTCTGCTGTCATCCTTTGAAGTTTTTCTCCTCTCTTTTGATTTCTCATGCTGATCTCTTCTTCTTGGATTGGTGTTATAACTCCACTTCCACTCTTCTCCACTATCCATCTCCTATAATTGTTTCTCTTCCTTGTTAAAGGAAATTCTAGTTTGCAGATGACACAATTCTTTTTTGTGAAGGAGGGGATCTCAATAGGATCAGAAACTTGAAGCTCACTATACAACTTTTCGAGCAAATGTCAAATCTGAAAGTGAATTCTGAGAAAAGTTGTATAGTTGGATTCAATATGGGGGTAGAAGAGGTTGATGAGTGTGCAGACATTTTGGGGTGTGAAGTATCTAGTTGGCCTTTAAACTACCTTGGTTTGCCATTGGGAGATAATCCTCAGAGAGATGAATTTCGGGTTCCAGTTATGGAAAGGTTTGAAAAGAGACTTGCGAAATGGAAGAAAAGTTATGTCTCTTGGAGGGAGAATCACCTTAATTAGATCCACATTAGCTAACCTTCCTGTCTATATTTTGTCAGTCTTTAAGATTCCGGTAAGGGTGGCTAGCAGATTAGAAAAACTTATGAGAGATTTTCTTTGGGAGCCAGGGGAGGAGAAGAAGGACCATAGGGTTAGGTGGGAGATGGTGTGTAGGAGTAAGAAGGAGGGCGGTTTGGGAGTTGGGAACATAAGGAATAGAAACTTAGCATTATTAGGGAAGTGGCTATGGAGATTTTCTTTGGAGAAAGAAAAACTTTGGGTAAAGATAGTGGAAAGTATTCATGGGGTGGTAGACAATGGATGGGACTTTGGGATTCTAGCACTACAAGAGCATCCCCTTGGAAAGCTATTCAAGCTACTTTGCCCGTATTCTCTCCTTGGATCAGGTATGACTTGCACTTAGGTAACCTAATTAAATTTTGGGAACATGTTTGGGTTGGGGATTCCCCTTTGAAAGATCAGTTTCCAAATATTTTTGCTATCTCTACCCTTAAAAATGAATCGGTTTCCTCCTTCCTTGTACCTTCTAACTCACCTTTTGGATTCGGTTGGAACCTGGGGTTGAGAAGAGATATAAGGGACACAGAATTAGGTTGTATTTTAGCTTTGTTATCCATCCTTGAAGGGATCTTCTTAGAGCCAACAAAGGAAGACAATAGAATTTGGACACTCACTCCCTCGGGCTCCTACACCTGTGCCTCTTTCTTCAAAGCCTTGATACAACCTTCTTCTATTGGACAGTCATTCCCTGTTAAAGAAGTGGGGAGTCAACCTATACCTCCGAAGGTCGGGAGCTTTTGTTGGGAAGCCTTTCTGGAAAGAGTTAATACAGGAGATTTACTTCAAAGAAAAAGACCCAATAGTTGTTTGTCTCTTCATTGGTGTGTCCTCAGTAAATCCGATGGTGAGTTTGGATACCATTTACTAATTTCCTGTCAGTTTGTTAAAGCTATTTGGGAATGGTTTACTTCTTTGTTTGGGTGCAGGTGGACTCCCCCTTTGAATGTGCAAAGCTTATTCACTTCCATGCCCAACTGCTCAACAAAAAGGGCAAAGGTTATGTGGAGATGTGTAAGGGCTGCAGTTTGTTGGACTGTTTGGGAGGAGAGAAATTCGTGGATTTTTCTAGACAAAGAAAGAAACTTGGAAGTAATATTGGAGATTATTCACATAAGGGTAATACGTTGGTTAAAAACTTTGGAGCTGTTTGCTGAGTTCTCAATTGATGTGATGCTAAGAAATTGGAAGGAAATTGCAGAATCAACTTCAAGTAAGAAAGCTTCAAGTTCTTGTTGGACCCCTCCACCAAGCAAGTTTATCAAACTGAACTTTGATGGTAGTAGTTTGGGCAATCCAGGGCCCTCTGGAATAGGGGGAGTGATAAGAGATGAAAAAGGGAATATGTTAGCTATGTATTGTGGCCCAATTGGGGTGGGAGACTCCTTGAGGGCTGAGATATTAGGAGCTCTTGAAGGAGTACAAAGGGTCAAAGACATGCATTTCAAGAAATTGGTCATAGAAGGTCATTCTGAAATTGTAGTGAACTGGTTAAAAGAGGACAACTCCAAGCTCTGGAACTACAACAATGAAAAGAGGAAATTTAAGTGGCTGAGTAAGGACATGGAAGTTAGATGTAGAAGTGCAAACTCATTGGCAGATGGCTTAGCTAGGCAAGGGGTGAACAAAAACTCTATTTTTTGGGCTGTTTTGTAGTTGGTTTCAGTTGGGTGTACTTTAATGTACTTTTGATGTATTGGGGAGTTAAGTTTTTTTAGCTCCTTATTTCTGTACTTTCTCAATTTTTAATAAAATGCACTGTTATTGATAGAAAAAAGGAAATTCTAGTTTGATAGTCAAGTGTTCTTAAATTCTAAATGCTGATTTACAATTTTGGTTTTTAATTTTTAAACAATATAGGATCTATAGTTCCATACAGAATATGGATGGCATTTGAGATTGCCCAAATTTGAGACTGATATATTGAGAACCTTGATTTTTTTGATATCTGAAATATTTATTTGAACTATGTATTCTATAGGGTGCAATGGTTAAAGAGATGTGCTAACTCCTTTGTGGATGCTCTCGCTAAACAAGGGGTGGGAACTAGGAAGGGATCAAATGTTATGGGCTGTGTTATAATTCTGTTTTTTTTTTTTTGTTTCTCGGGGAGGGTTAAGAGAGTTTACCTCTCCCTTTGCTTCCTTTTTACTTTTCTATTAATTTTGTTAATAAAAGGTTCTGTTATTGACAAAAAAAAAACTTCTATAGGGACTGTTAAGTTGCACTTAGATGTTTAGGATCACTAAATTTGGGGTTGCATGTTTGGCTAAGGGATCTTTTTGGAGGAACCATTGAATGGTGAGGGCCCAATCCTGCATTTGTGCCATATTCATGGAAGATGCTATCAAGATGGCCTTTTCTGTCTTCCAATTTTCATATATATCCATAGTTGTCAACACATATGGGCAATGTTGGGAAACAGTGGAGTGCCTAGCCACCTAGGTAGTAGAATTTGACAAGGAAACTGAATTCTAGGTTCATTGGTTTTATATACCAATCATCATATGTTTAAGTTGAAAGACTAGCAACACTTCACTAATAGCATAAATTTTCCTCTCATAACACAGAGAATCATCATATCTAAAAAGGCCAACATTTTAATTCCATTAATTTCAATATTTCAATTTCTTTCTCCTCAAAACCTCTGTTCTTGTGTGTGTGTGTGTTGTGATTACAATAGGGTGTCATCTTGTGATTTCTGTTGCCTAGTCACCTAGATGGATGGCTTTTTTGATACAAGTCATGGCATTAAGGTCAGATGGGCCACATCAAAGATGCTTTGTTGCCCAAGTGATACCTTGACAACTATGTGTATATCTTCATGTTATTTCAGATTAGGCCATTCTGAATTGTTTGCATTTGAAGGTGAATGATGATCGCATAATTATGGACAAAACAGTGGCTGATCAAGTATCTATGTGGAGAAGCAGTAAAGGCATGACAGATGAAGTGGTTGTTGACCATGCTTGTTCTGGGGAAACATGTTCTTACTATCAAATTGGAGATGTTTTCATTTGTGAGAAAACTGGTCGTGTTCATGGTAGGAACTACTCTTATGAGATCATCACACTAGTTGGTCCTTTATTCATGAAATTTGGGCCTTACAAGTTTCATTTTGTTGATTGCTCCTGCAGTGTGTGATGATACATGCAGAGAAGTTGTTTTGGATGCCTCCAGTGGGCTTCTGGTTTGTACAATATCTGGGCACTGTTTTGATAGAATGCTCTCTCCTTCAGAAATGGAACCAGATGCTGTGAGTAATGTGTATCCTGGCCTAAATATGTTTCATACTGTTTCTTGTTTGCAATTCTGGTACTACCCACTTAACATTTTGTTTGTTGAATTATATGTGAAAATGACCTTTAGGTATTTTTCATATTTCCTTTCTTTTGACATCCCTTTGCAGTTCCCCTCTCCATTGTCTTACTTTTTCTTATGTGATAGTTGTTGGTGTGTTGAGAATAATGTTCTTAAAGGTGCTCTCCTAGGTGCATACTTCATAGTGGCCGGACACTTCTTGTATAGTGGGTGGTATGCACCTTTGTGACAAAACCTAGGGTGAAGGATTGAGAATATTTTTTAAGGTCTTACTCCTGGTTCTTGTGGAAATGTTTCCAATGGGTCCTTTTATAATTTTGAGTTCTTCATTGCCCTGTTTTCAGGATCACCTCTTAGATGGAGTTAGTGGTAGATAAGAAATAGTCGAATGATTATATTCCATCCATGCTGATTGATGGATTGTCATTGAATTTCTAGAGTCTGTAACAAACTGGTATACTTGTTCCCTTTTTTCCTATGTCAAGTAGTAAGCCCTTCCATGTTTAGCCTCTGGTAGAATGTATTATTTAGAGCTCTCCCTCTAGGTGGATTGGAATGCTATTTTAATGCTTTGTAAATATCCTTTCAATTGGATGCATAGTATTCATTCATTATTGCAAGAGGAAAGGATCTAGTTGAATTTCATAGGGATGAGAATTTTGAAGCAGAAAAAAGCAATACATGCCTTGCATCGTTTGGTTTAATTAATCTTATGGTCTTTTATTAAAAATTCAGGAACAACAGCAAGGTGGTGTAACAGATGAAGCAGAACCATTTATGGGATCTGGCCGATTTGGTAAGAGGATTAAGGCCCTTCATCATAATTGCATTGTTTTATTTATTTATAGAGCTTTGCTTTTATATGCCCTTTGGAGTGTAAACTTAATGAGGTTTTATGAATCTGGTATTATAAATGAATAAAAACATGCAACTTCAAGTATCCCTTAATAATAATTTTATTCAATTCAAATCCAAACTGGGAACACATTCGCTGCTGCCGGTTAATCTGTGACACGTCATCGTATGGATATATAATATAATAAATATGTTATATATATAATATGCATAATTACATAATATATACATAATAATATTATTTATACACATTCAAAATATATAATTATATTCTATATATTTTTTATTTTTTATACTAATAATTAAGATTTGAGGCCAAAATAAGCATTGTTTGTGAAAAAATATAGTGGCCCAAGGTGCTGAAGGTGAATGATGACCTCTGGAAATTCTCATATAAATTGTATTTGTAACCAGTGACTCAGTTACCCGGTCAAGTGTCATGGTTCAACCACCTGGGTCAAATGGGTTTTGATCGAATTCTAGGTGTAGGATTTATCTGGACTGGAGTTGACGCCAGGTGACGGCTTGAACTGTTCTACTGCCTGGCTGAACGGCAGGTTGAAAACATTGGTCCTAATTACTACTACATGTTAACATTCTAGCATTGCTTAGAAGGCCATGTATTCATAACTTGCTGACAGTCTGGTCTTTTGAGTGATTTTACCATGCCTCACCAAGATGAAACATCTGGATTTAACGTCTGCATGGATCCACTTGCAGAAACATTTCCAAGGAAAAAAAACTTGTTGTCTCTCAAATTTTTATGATGAGTGTTTTTTTTTTTTTAATTTTATTTCTCATCTTTTTTGTGTTTTTATGTGATAGCACGTGCATATCTCTTGGGGTATAACTGTGCTGATGAGAAGGAACTGGAAGCGGCATTGAGGTTTTGCTGATCTGGTATTTGTGCTTTTCTTCCATGTTCAGCGAATTTTGATGAAAATGATAGCATCTTCAAGCCACACAGTTTTCTAAGAATGAAAGATAGTTGATTTCAGTTCGATATAGGATACTTACTGTATGATTAGATTGTAAGTATTACTTAATGTAAAAGAAAGCTGGCTTCTTCAAGCCTAAAAGATGTGTAGCAGGTTGTATTTGTAGAAGTGTTTGTGATTAAAGCAAGGTTTAGAGGAGCAAGGTCTAGCTGAACGCCTTAACTGTTCAGCAGGCTGTGGAACCAATGATAAGGTTCCATGCTAGTATTTAAATACATGGGGCCTATATATTTTACAGTGGGGCCCATGAGTTTATTACTGGCGTGGAACTTTGTCATTGGGTCCACAGCCCACTGAACAGCTAAAGCGTTCAACTAATCCGTATTCGGTTTAATGTATTGATACGTATCAGCCGATGTGCTTTTTGGGCTTATTTACATGGCACAGGTGTAATGGTATTGGTCAAAACTCATGTCTTTCCACCCTTGTGTATTCAAGACATTTCTTTCTCCTACCTTATTTATAGGCCTATTAATGTGTCCATGGTTTTTGAAAATTGAAAGCCCCAAGGATGTTTTTTATTTTATTCAAGGGCAAGCTCATATATATATATATATATATTCTATGCTTTTATTTTAATTTTTTTAAGCACCACTTTTCAACTTTAGCTTTCTTTGTGGAAGCTGCTACCACCATCTCCTGAAACTGGGCTCTTCTTAGAAAGCTCCTGAAACTTCAACTAAAAATCTATTTCTTTGCATCATCTCATACTTACGGAAATGTCCTTCCATTGCAAAGGCATTTGTTCTAATCTCCAACTTTTTTGAGCCCCTATATTAGCAGGTCTGTAATTAGGTATCGTTAGGGAATGTTATCCAATCTACGAGAAAACAAACCTCTTCATGTCTCCTAGTTGCAGTGAAGAGCTGGTAGCATTGCTTCCTTGATTGTTCAGATCTAAGTGAACCTTGCGGCTTTCAGAGGATTAGATTTGAGTCGCTGTATCTGATTTTATGAAAGAGACTAATTTTAGAGTTCAGAGATTGGAGGAAAAAGTCATAACCAAGGTTTGATATTTCTAAGAGCAATAGAGAATGGATCCTTTGGAGTTTGATAATCTTGGCCACTGCTAATTTAGTGCAATCCATTTGAAGATCACAAATCAAAAGAAGTCTTTCTTTACTCAAATCTTTGCTTAAAATTTAGAAAAGGCCAAGAATTACATTACGTGCACAGTCTACATGTTTGTTTCCTTGATTTTTCTTTACAGAAGCATGCATTAAATATGTGATACGGAGAGAGATGATATTCCCTTTAGGGGGTGCTATTTTTTTGGATTTTGAGAAGGGGGAAGTTGATCAATGGGATTTTGGTTTTCATTGATCAAGAATCCCATGTTCATTTTTCAGATTTATGTGAGGGTTAGGGAATGCTTATTTTCTTGGATAAGTGATATCCATCTCCTATATGGGTAAATAACTTTTTCACGTAAGGGGGAAAGTTGCTAACATTTGACTGGGGCAAAAAATATCCCTTTTAATAATGGATTTTTATGGTTAAAATGGTCATTACCTTATTTACCTAAGAAATAAAAACATGGTTAATGCACTTACCCGTATAAATGTTTTCCAAGAAAAACTTATCTAGATAACTGCATTTACCCAGGTAATAACTTACAACGTAGCCTTAATTCTCACTGACCTCTTCCCAAACCCAATAAAATACTTGAATGACGCCGATTATGGTCAATCATTGTTGTTGCTACTATTATTGTGATGTAAATAACGGTCATCCATCATCCAATCCACGCCTGAATGATTTTGCTCCAGTTGACACAGATAACCAACATTAATCTCCAGACCAACGCTGACATTCTGTACAACCGTCATATGACGGAAGAGTTCATACTTGACGATTCCTTCTAAAATTTCATTGTGACTTGACTTCTATGCAATCTTATTTGTTTATTGATCAATCGTTGATCAAGAAATCTGCTGTAAAAAAAAAAAAAAAACGGAATTCCTCACGTGTGAACCGATTTCTTGATCAACCGATTAAAGTAAAGGATATTTCACAACAATCATGAAAGGATACGTGTATAACTTTATGAATTCTTCACAATCAAATGAGGATTCAGATTGATCCTCGAGAATGGCCTTAAGTTTGGCTTTCCCTTTCTCCATGTCTTTCCAACCCTTCTCCAAGTCAACAGTCTTTGAAGCCAACCTCTGGTTAAAAAACATAAGAATAAAAAGGAAAATAAATAATGAACTTTTGCAATAGAATCCTACTAGAATCATCTTCAACGAAGACAACCCAATTAACCGACAAGGATAATATTACAAATAGCCAGAAGATGGAAACCGTATAAGAAAATTTTGAGATAAAAAGCAAATGGGCAATGGAGATGGAAAGTATCTCAAACTGGATTGGAGGACATTTCGGTTTCTGCCAACCAGCACTCAGGAAAAAAAATCCATTAGAAATCATGAAAGAGATAAGTGTCTAGAGTATGAAAAATACTGCAGGTTATCAACTGTTATCGTTAGTTTGTTCAAATATAATGACGAGCTGAAGGACGAAGAAGGAGACACTGGTATCTATTCTCGTCGATGAGATCACTGGCCGTTGGGGAGAAGATTGCAACCGGTGGAGGGAGGGGGGCTACGGTTTCCTTGCCGAAGAGAAGAGTCAGGGGGTAGTGGGTTTGGGCAGGAATGGAGAAGAAAAATGAAAAGCACTGAATTTGGTATCGAGGGCCAACGGAATGGAGAGCTAACGTTGTAAGTCGTAACCTGGCCTCCACTTGTGCTTTTCATCTATGTTTTCTAATAAAGTGGTTTACAATGGCAAGATTTGATCCCTATTGTGTTGTTAGCAGAGAACTGATTCCATATTTAGGGTGTTCTCTTATTTGCATGTCTGTTAAATGCAAATAGGTGTTCAAACAGATCTGTTGCATGTTGGTGCTTGAAACAAATCTGAACAATAACCTATTCTATATCACAGATAAGAAAAAAAAAACATAGAAAAGATGAAATGAGCCGTGACCTCTCCTCAGAAGAAACAGAATAGATAAAATAGAAATTACCATACATATTATTGATCTTATACAAAGAAATATACAAATAAAAAGAAATAAAGAAACATAGACAGAGAAAAGGGTACCAGCAGCTGGCTGGAAAAGAGAGACACAGTCACCAAATGGGGTTTTGTTTGTTCTAGCTTTGGGAATAATACTGATCCCTAGCTAGAGAAGAACAAAACTAAAGAGAATAGAGATTCTAAATTTTCATTCAAAATAAATCCATGTAAAACTTATAGGATTTTGGTTCCCATAACTGAAACCAAAGTTTCGTAAAATTTCAGCAAAATACGAATAAGTGTACTTAGTGGTTGTAACTAGGACTATGATTCTTAAAATCTACATGATTAAGGTTGTTTCCCATCTTCAAATATATTTATTTTAATTTCATTACATTTGGGGAATGAACAATATGAATATTATAAACAAAGTGTTCAGCTATGATTTTACCTGGTCTATATTTTTCTTCTTTGTCTTTTGGTTTCCTTCCATGTCTCACTGAAGTGCTCCTATATTCTGCTTATAATTTGAGGGTCCGTTTGGTTCGTAGTAAGAATCGAAATCAGAATTGAAATTGGAATGGTCCATTCCCATAGTCTGTTTGGTTCATACAGCTGAAATGAGAATGAGAATTAAAATCAACAGGGATGGGATTTCATTCCCAAGGAAGGGATAGGGAATGACCATTCTCTCAAATGGGGGAATGCCCTTCCAGTAGGAATGGGAATGAGATTCCAATTCTGCCCAACCAAACAGTTGGAATCGGAATAGCCCATTCCGATTCCAATTTCAGACCCCTATTCCTGCAAACCAAACGGACCCTGAATTTGCAGAAACACAACACTCTCCCAGAAATATTGAACTGTAGCTTCAAATGTCGAAACCCTATGACATTATCTTGAATTAATAAAATGAAGATGAAGTCTCCCATTTCAGTAATTTCTATTTATACATGAAATAGCATTAGTTGAAGAATGTGAGCTGTTACATATTCTAACCGAACAAATATCACTGAACATGTGAATGCAGAATCATAACTTTATTGCCCAGCATAGGATATGTATGTGAACGGAGCAAAAAACAGGTAATGGACATGATCTTTTAGAAACTAGCTAGGGTTGTTAACCATATGCTTAATCGAATGGATTTGAATTCTGTTGAATCCAAAACTTCTCCATCAAGTTTGGATTGATTATTCATGGCTGCCCTAAAGGAATGAGGTCTTTCTTGCAAAACTTTGTAATTCCTCTCTTCCCAAATTCCCTAGCCGCTTGATTTTTGTGGCGCTTGTCAAGAATGACTGATGAACTCCATTGCTCCATCCGAACCTGATCCTCCAATACTTCCACCCAAACCCGATTTGACCTGAAAGCTTTAATATATATATATATATATATATATATATATATATATATATATATATAATACATTTGAAAATATAACAGTCATTAATTTAAGTTTGGAATTTGATTGGATAGTCTTGCCACGCTATAACAGTGAATATGATCATGACTTGTACATTCAAAACAAGAACATAATCTTCAAAATGCTGACGACCATTTCATCTGATGGTTTGAAAAATCCCATTCAATTTATAAACTTGAGACTTGACTGAACTGAACCTTAGTGAACCATGTGGGGTCTCAACAAGAGTAGACCTGTCAATGGTCGGGCCAAGCTGATCATTGAACCAACCCACTTAACTGATTATATATATATATATATATATATATATATATATATATTGAAGCCTAAAAAAACGAATTCATTAAGAGCTCAACATAATATCATCAGCAATACAATCGTCCAGGATAGAAGGAATTGAGGACCAAGTATACATGGAGGGAATAACAAGAGCTCGACGTGCAATCTTGTGAGCCACCTTGTTTGCTGATCTAGGGGTATAAACACTAGAGCTCCAAGGAAGATTAGAACACATCGCTCTGCAATCTGCCAAAGTCTTGCGGACTTGCCATGGAGGAATGAAACTCTCCTCCGACAGAGCTTGAACAATACTTAAACAATCTCCCTCAAATACTACTTCAGAGAGCTGAAGCTCCAAGGAAAATTTGATGCTTTCCAGGAGAGCTGATGCTAATGTGTCAAGTGGAATGTGGACGTTAAGATTGGCATTAATTTGATTTTCTGACAGAAGATGTTGCAGCATAGACACCCTCGAGGACCTGGACCTGTTCTCTATATCAAGCACGCGAACATCACTGAATTGGTCAATTGGGGGATCCATGGATCATTAAACAGCTCAACATCCCAACCTGACCAAACCTGCTGCCATAGTAATCCAGGTCGAAGTAATTCATCCCTATACTTTAATAAATCAGCTCATCGACCAGAACTTTTGTCGTGATTGACGTTAACCTCCAGAATGAAGTTCCATTTGGTAAGTATTTGGAACGTACAAAGAACTTTTAGAAGACAAAATCTCCAGCATAATCACATAAGTTGAGATTTATTCCTCAACGCAACATCACAGATTGCTAATCCACTTTCTTCTTTCAATTTAGTCATTGTTGATCATCCTCTCAACTACATAGTTTTTTTTTTTTTTTTTTTTGTTTTTAGCAACACCCCACCAGAAATCCCTTTTCCAAACCAGTGATAATTTTGCATACGTTAGAGGGAAAAATTCTTGTGGACATAAGGTGATTAGGAATAGATGAGATTGTGCTTTTGTTCTACCTGCATGAGAGAGAGAGAGAGAGATTGGCCCTTTCACCGTATGAGAGTGGATTGTAAATGAACAATTTCATCAAGATTACTTCGTCCAAATAATAGGAGATTTGCTTCAGTTCTGGGTCCATGTTGGAAAAATCGAGAACCGATTAGGTGACCAGCTCTGTTTTACCCCAAAACTGTTATTTCGCCAAAAACCGTTGATTTGATCAGTAAGCCACTGATTTGGGCGGTCGAACCGTTTGAACCATTTAATGATTTTGGCCATTTTTTATTTTTTAATTTTTTTTTGTTAGAACGAGCCATCTATTCAGTTCGAATGGTCATACCGTTCGACCTGAGAACCAGACCCCTGACTGGTCTGGTTCAGTTTTTAAAACCTTGATCTTTATACGCTCTCACTATATCATCAACTTTTTCTTGAAATGGACCATTGTGACCATCCAATGAGTTTTTTCTCTTCAGTCCAAGTGGCCTCAAAACGGAAAGGTCGCTTGTATCTTGCTCGACTTACTATTTCATCAATATATAAACAATTTACTATTTGCTGAGGTTATGCTATTAACCTCAACAAATTCTAAATTGTTATTATCTTGTATCTATACATGTCAAGTGTAATCGGGTCAGACTTAATTATTGGTTCAATTGGTTTAGGACTGGTCCACTCTGTCCCGAGCTAGAGCCGGCCCATTTACAGCTCTAAACAAGAATCATATTTTTTTTGAAAATTTCAGACTATGCTTTCTTTCATCTTCCCTTCATTTGTTCATATGTCTTCTATTTACAGAAATTTACTCCTCACTGACAGCAGCCATTAGTCGTCTATTTATACATACAAACTAGGTCCAACATGTCCATAACAATACGTGGGAATTATGGATATCATTCTTTTATAAATTAGTATTAAAATTTCTATAGAAGATTACGACTATTACACTTCTATTTGAATCCCTGAAAAAGTGAAAATACAATAGAGGGCATACAAAAGAATAAATTGAAAAAAAACAAACAAATATTGGGGTTGGCTACAGACCAAACTCTCCTTCATATGATATCTTCTATTTTTTTTTTTTTTAATTCTAAAATATATTTCTAATATATATATATATATATATATATATATGTATGTATATACATACACGTATTACATATGCATGTATACATACATTATATATTAATATGTATTTTGCCTATAAACAACTTGATGGTTGAACCAAACCGGAAGCTGTTCCACCCACATTAGCACAAGATGATTGGGCCTTTTGGTTTTCATTATAACTGAGCTTCACATCTTCTAATGTGATCCCAGTACACGGATTCTTGGTGCTACAGTCAAATTTCACAGCGACTTGTGTAGCTGATGTTCCTTGGATGTGTTTGTATCTCACATTGCTGATTTTTACTCCTGAAGCCTGTCAAGATTTGATAGAGAGAAATGTGAATAGTGAGAACCAGGCCCAAGCCCAGACTAGCTTTCAACTAACCATTAATTACTATGTTTAACATAGTGGAGTGGGTGCCAAAGAAATATTTGTTTGCCAAAAATACCCTTATTATGAGAACGTACCTGACCAGGACAATCTTTGTTGTGAGGGCAGTAATTTTGGTCAATTATGATGGGGTTTTCGACATTCTTCATGATGGCATTTTGATAAAGGACCCCTTTCACGAATCCTTTGCTGGGTCTTCCCCACGTCTTAATCCTCAGCCCATTTTGGGTACCCGTAAAAGTAACGGTTTTAACTGTCACGTTCTGCACTCCTGCTTCATTAAGAGACCAGCCAAGGCTTCCGATGCTGCACCAAGCACCGGATCCATAGAGAATCACTCAGTCAAAACTTGCATTCCATCTCTCTCAAAGTTGAACACATCAAAGCCTGAGGTGCAACTCACCTGATGCCGTGTCCAGGTCCACATGCAATGTTCTCTATCCATACGTTCCTTGTAGCAGGGCCGATTGAGATACAGTCGTCTCCTGTCCTCATGCTTGAGCTCACAATCGCCACCCGGCTCGATGATTCCACATGAATGCCGTCGGTGTTCGGGCTGTCGCCGGGCGCCGTGATCGTCACCCCTCGGACGTGGACATTGTGGCAACCTCCGATAGTAATGTGGAACAGTTGGCTGTTTATCGATGATAATCCACTGATCACAATGTTTCTTGAGTTCACAAAGGACAGTGACTGCATATATAGACACACAGAGGATGAACAAAATCGTCAGTATCTATATATTTGAATAATTGAACCCTATTTCCTTAACGATCTCCACTGGTTAATTTTCTGTTACAATGGAACGATCAGTTTTGATTTCCAAGGAAAAAAACTGTCATTAATTAACCCACCAGAGAAAAATTAATTCTGTGTTTTGTTTTTGATCAGATGATCTAAACGCAGAAAGAAATTTTCAAAACTCATACTTGACTTACCCTGGCTCCGACTGGGCAGCTCTTCCCTGCAGCCTTACAAGACCACAGAGAAGAGCCTTGGCCATCAAGGGTCCCTCCATAGATGAAAACTCCATTGACGCCCTGGAAGGTAATCCAGCGTTCAGAGCTACCGAGGACACGGTAGTCAGATGGGGCCAGGAGGGTCCCGTCGATACGTATCATGGTACGACTGTTGTTGCATTTGCCTCCAAAGCGGACTGCTTGGTTGAGTAAATATCTTCCCGGTGGCACATAGATCTCGGCCGGACCGACGGAGCCACAGGCCATAGCCCATGCCTTGAGGAATGCGCCGGAGGAGTCAGTTTTGCCATTGGCTTTGGCCCCATAACTGGCCACGTTATAGCTTGCAGCTGCTGCTGGGTAGAAGAAGAAGACGAAGAGAAGTGACAGTGGAAACGTTATGGGCTTCAACATATTAACTCAGAGAAAGAGATAGAGATGAGGAGGGTTGTACCAGAGAGAAATGGGAATTGATGGGATGGGAGAAGTTACAGCATTTTGGGATATTTATAGGATCTGAATAGGAAGTGGGTCCAAATGTCCATTCCAAAGCAGAGAAAACCGCTGAAAAGTGAAAACCAGATTTAATTTAATTTACTAATCTTGATAAACTGTTCAGTAAGGAACAAGGCCTTCATTTTATCCATCCGTTCCAGAACTCACAAATTGATAATATGTGGAAAGTAAAACGGGAGAGTGGGTTTGGCCACAATCCACCTTCCCCACATTGACAGTTTGACATTGCTACAAGAAATGGTTTGAACTTTGGAGAGATTTCAAAGTTTTGACTTTATTAGGTCAATTGGGTAGTGGCCATGTAACAGCCCAGTACTGTTTTTCTTTGAAGGGTCAGTTCCACAACAAAGAATGAAGAGGAGGAAGAGGAGAAGAGAGAATTTTTCTTGTTTTGCTCTATGCTAGTGTACCATGAGACATGATAATGAGGAAGATGGGAACTGTTTGATTTCTATGTTTATTTCAGCACTTAAGTTAGCTAGATCACTATTGGAGTAGACCAGTAACATGGTTGAGCTAATCAAAATGGCGGGGTTGCAGCCGTGAACAACTGATGACCCTCCATTAAAACTTTAAATTAAAGGTTGGTCTTACACCTAACACTTGGGCCAATCTAACTAATTCTTTCCCTTATTCTTAACCTTTATGGACTCTCTCTCAGGGCTGTACATTCTGAACTTTGTGATCCTTTAGGTTGGATCATATTTGGTATCAGAACTTGGTTTATGAGTTAGGTTGTTCTTCATGTAGGCTATGATATCTGGTGTGTTTCAGACTTCTGTGTATGACTTGTTATTCTTTCTTGGTCTTACCTTTTGGGTTGTAACTGACATGGGTGGGTCTTACCTTAAATTCTTATGGATGCATGTTAGGTCAATTTGTCACCATGGTTCAATAACTAATTAGTACATGATTTCTGACTTCTATTAAATTTTAGTATGTTTTGTATATGACTTTGACCCCCCTACCCGGCCCCACCAAAATTAATAAAAGAATAGGGAAAGTAACCACCTTAATGTTATGATTTCAGTTTATTGGTCAGTTATTTTTCTTATAGTCGAACCCAACAAAATAAGGTAGAAATATTAGTTATAAAACCACCAAGACGTGTTACTCACAGGAGTTAATGTAACTACCCAATTGCTTTGTTATTTGAATTGTTTTGGTCTTTATGTTAGTTAATATATTTAGTTGTAGAAAAAATCTATGCTGCCGTCGGAACAAAAAAAAAAAAAACCCACTTTTTGCTTACCACGGTTATGAACTTATGATATAGTTTCTTTTTAATCCAAAGAGTCAAAGTTTCATTTATAAAATGCATGGATTACAATTCCAAGGAGAACAAAGAGTAAGAAGAGTGCCTTCAGAAAAAAAAAAAATAAAAGCAAGAAGATAAATAAAACAATATTGTAAGACAAATTAAACTTGTTGTGAAAAGCAGTAATGAGTAGGGGTGTTAATGGATCGGTTTTGGATTGTACCCTGTCTAAACCAAAATTAATTTGGATGGATTGGACTGAACAATAAGACATATTAAATTGGACCAGTTCAGACTTAAGGGTCCAAAGTATTTATTGGATTGGATTGGACTGGACCTGGCCATAATGAATTTATATTGAATTGAGCCAATATCTGGTCTATTGATAGAAGATAAAAATAATATAGGTGTTAAAATAAATTTAAACACATTGGACAGTCCAAACATTGAATTGGACCGGTTCAAAATGGCCCAAAATATTAATTAGATTGGATCGGACCTAGTCCATTTGTAATGAACTCCCATTGGACTGGATCAAATTGGATCAAATTCAGTCCAATTGACACCCCTAACCACAAGCACAAGCAGTGAATTAGCTCAAGTAAATATCTACAAATGGCACAAAGTCAAGAATTTGGATATTTATCAAATCAAATCAGGTCATATCCGAATCCGACCGATTAAATATATAAATATATAAAATAAATATTATATTTATATAAAGTATATAATTTAAATATTTTATATAATATATAAGAATTAAATAATCGGTCAAATTTGGATATTTATCAAATCGAATCAAGTCATATCCGAGTTCGATTCGATTATGTTAAATCTTAAATTTAAAATCAGATTTTCAAATATCGTTGAAACCCCTAATTGCCATGTCCAGCTATTTATAGTGAAAAGAGGAGAATTGTGGTCTACCTGGAGTTTTAGCCCTATTGGGGGACGACTTTCCCGACCAGGCCAAGGAATCTGCACACAGGGCGCCCTTATCTAGTCCCCGACCTATGAAGGATGTGGGGTTGAGATTAACCCAATGGAGCAACCCACTGATGTGTGAAGCTGATTCCAAAGCTAGCTGGTCAAGCATAGGTTGTTGGTGAGTTTCCTAGAATGCCCTTTTGCCAAAGGCCACGTAGCGAGGGCTCTGGTTGGGCCATATTATTTAACCACATCGTTACCACTTTTATAATGCTAGTTGATTGATTAAAGTTTTTTTTTTTTCGGTATTATATAGGGTTCAACTATGATATGGAAAAGATATATAATATCTTAGCTAATCAGGTGTTATTTATGAAAATTCATGAGTAAGTTTTGACTGATTAAAACTTTTCCTGTACCATGTCTTTCGGGCATCATAGATTTCAAGAACACTAGATACAAAAACCATAAGTATCTGATTAATATAAACTAGGGCATCTAATTCGCATATGTGTCTAGTATTCCAGTGGTTGATTTATTATAGAATTTAACGGGATTGGAATACTTTATAGTATTATTAACCCTGCAATAATCAATAATTACCAGATCCCCTTAAAACTTAATTGGTAATAGCCCTTGCTCTTTCATTTTCTTGGGAAGAGTAAATTTGTAATACAAATATGTATTGTGGAAAACCTTTTATAAGGTATTTCTAAACCTTCAAGTCAAAATGTAACATGACACATCTAGGTAGGGATGTCAATTGGACTGGATTGATTTGGTCCAATCTGATCTGATCCAACATGAGTCCATTACAGAAGGATTAGGTCAAATTCAATCTAAAGAATACTTTGGACCATTTTGGATCGGTCCAATCTGTTCAAATTGGTTTCAACCGATACCTGATCCATTAACACCTGTATTCTTATTTTCTATCAATGGATCAAATACTGGTTCAATCCAATCTGATCTAATATAAATCCATTATGAATTTTCAATTAGATAGGAATTTGATGTATTTGCAGTCTACAGGTGGATTTTAATGCTTCAGGCCTTTGCAATCTCATATAATTTTTTGGGGTTTTTATTCCGGAGGTGGACTGAACTCTAAATTTCCCTTTTTTTTTTCTTCATAAACATTCTCACAGGTTCAATAAAATAACAACTTAGTATGAAAATTTGACAGAAAGCTCTTGCCAATGTCGAAGGTTTGAAAATAAGGCTTAGTTTGAAAAGAGTACAAATACAAAATATAAGGTTTTGCACTCTACATATTTACATTTGTACTCTTTAGGTTTTGCACTCTACAAAATGCTATTTAGGCTCAGTTTGGTTGCATACCTCTCCTCTGTTGGTCTTTCTTTTTGATGCTAACAGTACCTCATGACACGAGTATTAGAGATTGTATGGGTATGATGAAATGTATATTTGACTGTCTAATTGGCTTGGGGATATTATTTATTTGTTTTTTATTATTGCTGGAGTTTGATGTTAGTTGCATTATACTAATCATAGGGAGGCAAATGTGGTTTACCATTTCCTCTTTTTGTTTATGATTCAATATTTAGTTTCAAGGCTATTGGTTGGATCTTGGATCTAGGGCTATGACCGAATGTTAGTCTATTAACAGATGGTTCAGATCGGATCCAATCCAATCCGAAAAGTATTTGGGCTGCAGTGGCCCAATTCAGTGTCTTATTGTACCGTTCAATCTGTTTAAATTGGTTTTAATTCAGATTGCATTCAACTCAAACCTCCATTTTCATCCCTATTCTTATCTTTTGTTATTTTAACCCGACCCAGTCTAATATAAATCCATCACAGATGGACCGAATCCAGTAAAATCCAATAAATGTTTTGGACCATTATGTTTTATTGGATGGTCTAACCTTTTCACATTGGTTTTGATTCGAACGTGTCCAATCCAAATCCGATCCATTGATACCCTTCATTGGATCTAACTCTAAATAACCAACTGGTGTGATAGATTCACACAAAAAGATGATTTATTCTCCATCTAATTCCAATTCCAGTAGGCTGTTTCTTATGTGTTAGAAGTTTGAAGAAAGACGGTCCCCTGGATTGTGAATCCATGTTCAAGGTACGGTTGGAAGAACACCCATTTTAGCAGCTCAGACGCTCAGGCTCATGACAGAGGAAGTAGGTATATTATCACTTTTGGTTGTGGGGATATAACAACATTTCGTATATTGACTTGCGTGCAGCCCAGACGAGAAAAAGAGTCTAAAATGGACATTTGGAAACGGAAGTTTGGCTAAAATTTGTAGAAGAAACCTGTTAAGGACATCAAGGAAAGAAAACCCAACGCCTGAATTGACTTTTATTGGAGGGATTATTAGACATTAAAGCTCAGTTTGGAAGGAGTATAAATACAAATATATAGAGTGCTAAATCTTGTATTCTGTACATATTTGTATTTGTATACTCTTTCCAAATTGTGCCTAATGCATTTTAATCTGAATTACAATCTGAACGGTGGAGATTTAGAGGGAATTTTGACAGAAACTCCCTCTAAATCTTGTATTCTGTACACTTGTTCTGATTCAGGATTTTGGGCTGGGCCATTTAAATTTTGACAAAAACTCAATCTGAGCCCACCCAAGTTGCACCCTAGTTCAGGCTGATCCGGTCCATGTTGCAGCCCAAGTGAAGTAGGGTACGACGAGATAAAAGATAAATAAAATAATGAAAAAAAGATTAAAAAACTTGATTTCTCCGTGAGAAAGACTTA